GTGACAGGTTGGCAGAGCTATCAATAATTTTTTGGAATAAATGCGTTTAAACAGATAACAACAAACATTTCTAATTCTACAACCGTGCTTTATTTTGTTTAACAAAATTGTTGTCTTATAAGAAAACAAATGTATTAGATATGCAAAACAAACTGCATTTGAGCTTCATTATATTTAATTTAAAAAAAGAGAGATAAGAAATACAGAGGCTAGCATTTTTTTCTAAAATAGCACATATGCCTTACTTAAAAGCTAACACTAAGGAACAGCTTAAAATGAACACTGCCATCAACAAAAACTTCAAGTATTTACGTCACAGAAGACATATATGCATGCAATATTTCTACAAAACAACACATTGTGATACGTTACTGATGAAAAACTAAGAAAATCATGAGTGTTTTAACAAAGCGTTTGAAAACATAAGATAAATTAGGTAAATTAGCAACGTTAGAGTGTTTGTATTATTATTGAAGTCAAGATTTTTAAAATCATTGTCAGAGCGTTATTTCTTCATTTCTACATGTTCAAAAGAAAGAAAAAACAAACACAGTCTCTCGCCAAAGATTTCCTAGTTAACTTTAAATAACGTCCACATTTTTTTTTCGAAGTATGACCAATTTTATATGTAAAGGAAATCTCATAGTCTTTCGTAATGAGCATACCCCCAACCCACGGCATGTCCATGTCAAAAAAGGGAATTTTTAACTTAGGAGAACGATTTAATTTTATAATCAAAAGTTTTGTTAACAATACAATGCACTCTGTCTCGCCGAGATATATCTGCCAGTAAATTCAAGTTGATGCCTTCAACAGTTTTTGAGATAATTATGAGCTTAACAAAATCTAAGTATGAAAAAAAAAACAATAAAAAACAAGACTTTCTAAAATTTATGATAGCTAAGAAGTATGTTTCTTACTGCCTCGCCGAGCTATATGAACATGCAAAGTTTGATTTCGATACCTTTCATATAAGTTTTAAAATTTACAATGGGCAAATACTGAAAATTATGAAAGCCAGAATTGTGAATTCATGATTTTTCACACCTTTCTTTGTCTCACGGTGACCTGTCTATCGATACAAGTTTTATACCATATTGGAGATATGGACAATATAAAATAAACGTGGCGGGACGTGACATTGTGTGTTTCCAATAAGCGTCCACAATAAATGGTGGGGTTGTCGAGCGTCTGAAACAAGTGTGAAAAGGTTAACCCTCGTATTCCGAAAATGTCTGAATATTTCCATAGACAATAACGAAGAAAACCAAATCACCAGTGTTTGGACATTTTGCATTTGCTAAACTGTACTACTTTCCACTCGGAACGAACGCTGTGTTGCAATGAAACCTCTTAGTCTTCTAAACTGGCTCCGAAAACTTGACAAATATGTATTGCTGATGCTCTTGCAACTGCTTTGTAGTTGAAACCATTCGACAGCACGTCCTTAATCCCTACAGGTAGCTTTACTAGAATTTAAATTGAAAACATTAAAAGTATGTGTTATCTCAATTGAAATGAAATACCTATATATACAAAATGAAATACAAAAAATCCCTTAATACATAACTGTATTCAAAAGTTTATATACAAATAACATGTACTTTGTACTTGGTAGGTGTCCTAAGTTATTGATATTGAACAAGTGAATAATAAAGTTTCAATATTATATCATAACTGGTTTATGGGACCATATTTCATAAACCTTCTGACAAAACATTTTAGCTTTAAAAATGGGCATAAGTATGTCAAATTGTGAGCCACTCATACGAAACTTGGTCATTGACCTTAGATGTCAACACTTAAAATGTGTTTTAAGTTTCAAAGGAATCGCTAAAATAGTTTTTGCGAAACCATTTTTCATGAAAATTCTAAACAACAAATTCAAAGTCGAAAAAGAGGCATACTTTGATAACAATGCAATTCAGAGATTTATTACTTAAGTGTCTGAAGTGTGTGAAGTTTCAAAGCTGTATGATTTATTGTTTTTGAAATACCATGTTTCATGAAACTTCTTAATTACAAATTTCTTTGTCAAAATAAGGCCTATAATTTGGTCTCTATTCAATATAAGATGGACGAAGAATGAACTACGGGTGGAAACCGATTGAAACTGCAGCAAACAACAATGTGAGACTGATTTGGATTTAAAACTGGAACCTACATAAAAAATAAAGCGTTTGATTCATACGCTGTATGTCAATTTGAGATTATATATCCCTGTTCCGGAAATCAAAATAAAAAATGGATACCAAATGCAATGCAATGCAAGCAAAATATTTCTTTTCTTAATCAATTAAAAAGGCTTATATAAGAATAACATCTTTCGATCCTTGCATATGTACCCACATATTTTGTTTTTAAATAAGTCTCCAAGAAACTTAGGTAAATGAACTTACCTCGTCTGAATCGTTGTCATATTCTGCCGTCTTTTCCTTGGAAATAATGAGGCAAGCACGTGGGACAGTAACAAAATCCATAAGTCAAAAATCAAAAGTCATAAATCAAAAGTCATAAATCAAAAGTCATAAGAAAATAGTAAAATAAATCTATAAGTCGAAACTCAAAAGTGACCCTCCAAGGCTTCCATAATATTATTATTAGCACTATTGATTGTTCTGACTTCATTGAATGCTTTAGCAGATATCTTGATAACTTTCTGTATTATTGGAACGCCTCCGAACTAGTGATGGGTCAATTGATCTATGCTTGAATGTTACAGATATATTTAAACTTTCCGATGGAAAAGAAATTGAGAGCGGCGGGGTAAGAGTAATAAAGGACTGAATAAAGATCAGCAAGGTGCCCCTCTTTGCAAAATTGATTCTGGCACAAACGGGCATCTGAGTACAATGAGTGAGTTTCGTAGGCTATCTTGATAGTATCATACATACACGTTCCAAAAACACTCATTTCTGAACATTATATCAAGTGTACTTCTGTCATCATGTATGTTATTAAATGTTTATGATTCAATTAGAAACTTGTTAAGAATTGAATTATTGATATGGTTTAGTTGTACTACACATACGATCAAAGTGCTGAAGGCACTGAAAACAAAGCCTGGATAAACTAGCGAATTTAACTAACACATTTTCACTCCAGCTTCACAGGTAAATGAATTCTATAAGTCAGCTTTTACTACTTAATATCATTACGGATTTTCTTTTGGGGACTTCTGCTTTTGAAAAATAATCTAAACGAGTAAAATAAATCCCTTTTTAGGGGTAAATTACTTAATAAATAGCATAGTGACCCCCGTTTTCTCTTTCATAAATTTGCTTTATTAAATTCTTTTTTATTCAAATATTAAGATCATTCTATCTGCTACTTCAAATCTTCCTGGTTTATGGATATAAATACGAAGGTGCGTCGTCTTTCGGTAACAAGAAGAAAATGACAGTCTATTCATATGATCATGACTGTGAAAAATCATTTTTGTGAACTTTGTTATCCTGCCGATAAAGAATTTGCAAGCAATCTGGTGTATATCTCTTATTTTTTAGTGCTTACACTTAGTTTTAAATTCCAAAGAAAATTTCTTATGGGACCTTTAACGTTTGATTACGGTATAATCACTATAACCGAAATACTAACGAATTATTTGTAATGCATGTAACTGTGATATTTTTCGTTCATGTGTTTAAAATACTAAAGTAAGTAGCTCTATAATTTTTCAAACTGAAATCCTGTATTTCCGAAACAATTTACAAAGGCTTTAATACACTATCTCATAAGTCTTCGAATTACGAGTACCACCCACCTTATCTCAAGAACATACATATGGAAAACAAGATCAATTAGGAATGGTAGCATTCAATGAACGCAACACCCAAAAGACCAAGCAACACAGGGCCACAGCTAAGTGCGTTGGACCCCAAAGTGCGATGCGAAATGTAACGCACTTTGAGGTCGGATCTCAAAGTGCGTTTGACTCCAAAGTGCGGTGTTACAGACCCCAAAGTGCGGTGTTACAAAGCATGTTTAAGAGAAAAACACCTTAAAACTTGTCTTAGACATATTTATCAATTATGTAAGTTTGTTTGTCCATGAATAGCTCGTAAAATTTCGTAACTTTTCGTATCGAACATATCTTTAAAAAGCCGTTTAGCTGACATTCGGAATTGAAAAGAAACGGATAGTTCATTTTTCTTCAGGACTTAAACGTGTTTGATTGATTACGAAATGCAAATTTGATAATAAAAAAATGATTTAAACGGGGCGTAACTCTGACTTGCTTACTGACATACTCTTTAACAAGGGTCGCGACTGAGCAATTATTTCAACTCCTCTGAAACGAAACAGCATCAACATAATGGTTGATTGAAGTTGTAAATATAGTATGGTTATAATATCGTTCATTTTCATTTCCATCAACGTTTAAGGTACAATGCTTTCCCGCCAAAAAGATTCCCTACATCGGCCAACATCGTAATAAATCGGTCATTTCCGGAAAGTTATTTTTCACGCTCTTAGGTGTTTCATAATTTAAAATCGTTTATAATCGGAATTTAGTACTTAGCGATAAGGGATGAGTGACTGTAAATAATCAAATGCCCAAGATTTTGAAAAATAACGTTCCGGAAATAACCGATTTGCTATGATATTGACCGATGTTAGATTTTTTTTGGCGGGAAAGCATTACAGTAAGACTGCACTAGTGTTTTCGCTTATGTATATGGCGCAAAACAGGTTTTTTTCCTTTTATTTTAGAACATCTTATTTTCTTCTTTATAAATATTTGTTATATGGGATCATGTATCTCACACTTTCCAACATCTTCCATTTATAATCCTGTCGTAATTTGTTGTTATGACTGATACTTAATACAATATCAACGTAATTATTCATTGTATTACATGCCTTCATTTATAGAGCAATTCACTTTAAGTGACTGAAAACAAAACATTGTCGTTCATGAAATTTCAAGTTTGTAACTCTTCATTTGTGTATCGTATGGGAAAAACATGAATACGTGAATAAAGGGAACAAATCAAATTGATTTCACGCTTTTATTGAATCTTTGAAATTGATTTGTATTTTACATGTTTATAGTTATGTAACTTATGACGCAGGTTCCTTTGAGATCTATGGGCAGTTTGGAACATTCATGGCCCAGTCGCAACCCTGTAACGTCTCGCTGAAGAAGGTCTGGGCGGGACAAGGTTCGTGGTATGAAACCTCATAGGAACAACTGTAAAAGTGAGTGCAACTTAAGGGATCCTTGTAGAAGCCGTCGGGTTTTCCTTTGCAGAAATCAGCCGGATTGCCTGAAATTCATATGACATAATATTTATTCCATGCAATTGTTTTTTCAATGTAGGTGAATGCATGTCAATTTACTCTCCGTCAGATAGAAAGTAATTTTAAGTTCAATGTTATTAAATGATTTGTCATTTAATTCGTTAAAATAATAATAAAGGACTTTTTTAATGTCTGGTAGACTCACAATTTGTTTTTAATTACACTTGTCAATAGCAAAGCAATGCAATCAGAGTACAGTGTGCTTGATTTTAGCAAAAATGCTGTTCCTATACAAAACAATATGCTAGAATAAATAAAGCTGAAGCAAGCTTCTTTTTTAACAACATAAATTCTGCCCAAGACATAAGCTGCCTTTTCGTACAAGACATAAGCACGACTTCAAACTCCGACGCAGGGTCTCAATTTGCTTCGCTATACAGAGCGTAGCCAATCAAATCACTGTGAGGAGTTTGACAAGACGTAAGCTGCGTATTTTGTACAATATAAAAGCTGCTTATTTGTACAAGACGTAAGCTGCATTTTTATGAGCTGCCTATTATGTACAAAACGTAAGCTGCCTTTTTATGAGCTGCCTATTTTGTACAAGACGTAAGCTGCCTTTTAGTACAAGACGCAAGCTGCCTATTTTGTATAAGGCCTAAGTTGGCTTTTTTGTCATAGACAAAATATGAAACAAACCAGTTTGAAAGGTAAAACATTGTGATTTTGTTACGGTGATATTCAGACCGGTATACGGATTTGTTTTGTAATAAGATTTAATATTTTTTCTGATTCCACAATTTAAACCGTGTTATGAGATAATGCATGTATGCAATTTTACAATTTTCATTGATAATTTGCTTTATTATCGAAACTGTGATTCGATTGTTCATACCATTATACTGGACTGTTACTGGGGCTTTTGTGGTTTTCGTCGTTGGAGGAGGGGGTGTGGTAGTGGGCGGCACCCATGGTGCCCATGGTGCATGCGTTACAATTGGCGCATGCGTTACAACCGGTGCATGAGTGGTTTGCTGAAATGGGAAAAATAAAAGAATTTAATGTTAGTGTACTAAAAAAACATTTAAACATCTTTTAATTCATTATTGTCAAATTTAGATTATTTTTTATGTAAAAAATCATTTTTTTTTAAATGAAATGGCTGAAAACATAAATAAACAAACAAACAAACAAACAAAAAACCAACAAAATACATATTGAAAGTCAGAAGAATAAAAATAAGTAGCTTGTTTAACACCTTGTCTTTTCTTACATTTATACTTTTAATTATTATTCTCTTACACTATTTTCCCGACGTTTCGATATGTTATTCCTTCTTTTAAGAAGGAAAGATCTGCAAACAGGCTGGCAAATATGTTGCCTTAATAATCACATTATTTCGTTCTATGTAAGCAAAGTAAATGACGACACTGACAATAGAAGTGAAAGTGACCTCATAAAGATTATACAATTATCACAATAATATATTTTATTGATTTTTTATTGTTGGAATTTTATTTATTTTAATGAAATATATTTTAAACATTCGCCTTACCGCTGCAGGGTGGCCGGCTTTGCAGGTCACGTGATCTGGGAAATCGCAGTATAGTGAAATCGAGTTGAATAGTAGACCCGGGTGACAGTCAGTTTTGAACGTTATACCGGCGGCGCACACGAAGTATTCTGAGCATGACGTTGGGCTTGGATAATAGCCGTCATTATTGGTTACACAGTCGAATTCGTTTCGTGAAACCGCGGTAAGCTGGTGAAAAATGCCGCTGATGCCTGGAACTTTAAAGTGTCAGATTAAGTTAATTTGTGTGCTGTTAAAAAATGTTAATAATAATAATAATAATAATAATTATAATAATAATAATAAAATTAATAATAATACTACTTATAATAATAATAATAATAAATGAAAAACAAATTAATCTTAATATCAATTTCATGTCAAAATCAAATATTGTCAAAAAATACAGTAACAGTAGATAATTAAAACTTCAAGAACGTTTTTGGTTTCAATCAACGAATGATTTTAACTGATTCAAACAAATCGATTCTCATTACACATCAATAAACGTATACCGAAATAGCTTGTCTGAATTTTTGAAACGAACAATGAAAAATTTAAGTTAATACGTTACACAAAAAGCATTGAACCACAATGCTATCACATTTGTAGCGTAGCCCTGAGTGTAAAACAAATTGCCGAGTGTTTTGATGGACCATCTCTTTGTATCATAGGCAAAAGTAAAAACACTATTTTTTTATCGTCACAACATGAAAGCCCAAAATAAATGAACCTATGTACGAGCATCTGAATGCGATTTTTTATCATTATGCATTTCCCTGTTGTCACAATAAGTTAACTCCAGAAAAATGTCGCCAATCAACGAGGATTCCGGCTGAAAGTGCTGACAGTGCAGTAACTGAGGTAGTGCTGGTACCTTACACCAGTCCGGCGCTCCAGTTAACGCACTGTGCTTTTGTGGGTATACTATTTAATTAATTAAAAGGTCTTCAACTAGGATACAACTGACATAATAGAACATCATGTGTACATAGATTCAAGCTGCCAGTTGTCTCACTCAAGCAAAGCAAACGCTCTTAGAGCAAAGCAAATCGGAGCAAATTCAAAATTTAACACAGATAAGCGGTTGTAAGCAAACCTGTCGTTGTGGCATCAGTTGTGGTGGATGGCGTTGTGGGTTTCGTGGTAGTGGGTTTCGTAGTGGTAGGCGCAGGTGTTGTTGTTGTTGTCGTCGTCGGTTTTGTCGTTGTTGTTGATGGCGTCGGAGCTGTGATTTCCAAATATATGCTAGTTTGCTATGACTGATAAGCAACAATTAGCTCTGACAAGCGCATTTTAAGCACATACGCAAATACAATAAGCATTTATAATTGATTCAAACATTTCATGGAAATAAATGTGTGTTTGTAGTACATGGTCTGTTCCGAAATTTCAGTGCTGTTTTCGCCATAACAAACACCACGGAATACAATGACAAAGACAAAAAATATCTAATTTGCTTGAAAAGTTAGTATTTAGCCTTAGAGGAGTGTTAACTAGATCTTGTTACCAGTAAGAAAGATAACCGCAAGTGTTGAAGAAATGCCAAAATGTTACCTAAATTAGCACGAAGTTCAAGTAATGTTTTCATATAATAATGTATAATCAAGTTTACACAAACTGATGTACCCAAAGAAATATCTACGCCTCTAGGCCTCGCACGTTTATTTGTTAAAGGTTACTCTAATCTATTTTAGCTTATGTGACTCAGATGTGCAATGAACCAAGACTATTTGTATATTTCTTGTAGAATATCATGCAAGGAACATCCCAGATGAGTTTTATCAAATTGAACCTAGAGATATAGTGGAGATGTAATTTGAAACGATTTTGTAGGCGGACAGACGGACGGGACAATAACACAAAAAAGCAACAAATAACCAAATATTAACACGTTGCAATAAAAGGAGAAACACTATTTTGTTATACCAAGTTTGCTAGGAAAAACATAAAAAGACTAAAGCACCAATCCATATCATAAGCACGTGCAAGATTTTTTTTTGTTTTGCCAAGCTCAAGATTAAGAATTATTGTTGGCAATCATTCACAAAGTAACACTTATTTAATCAAAGCTTTATGTTTTGTTCAAATTACTCTACAGGAATATAATATTTGAATTTTTATACAAGTGCATTTTTAATTAAATGCAAAATAGTCTTCACGAGCTGACAGAAAACGTCAGAATCAGCAGTTGTGAGAGTCACTTACTTGTGATAATAGGTGCTTTGGTAGTTACTGGTCGGTTCGTATATGTTGGAAACGTGAACCCAGGGAATATAGCATGTGTTATTTTTTGTGTTGTTGTGGTCGTTGGCGTTGGTGTTGGTCTGAAAGAAAAACGACAATAATTTAGTTTTGAACATGTGTTTGACTTTGTCATATTTGTAAATAGAATGAAGTCCAGGTGTCATTTTTTATTTATGCGGGTTCGTAAACTTCTTACTAGTACATGTATGTGTATACATCTCTAGATAGATTAAGAATAATAAAAGATCGTTTTTGTTTCGTATTATTTGTTGGTTTGTTTTATTTGAGTTTTTCTTAATTTCTTTTTCGGTTTTACAACAGAAGAAATCAAAACTGATACTAAAACAGAATTGAAAATTTGACAATGTTGCCAGCTGACCTGTGACTCTATATATGCATAGATGACTGTGGCGCCGTTATATGTCGCAACGACGCTAAATGTCGCACTTTGCCGCTAAATGTCGCACTTGCCGCTAAAGGTCGCAACCGCCTCCAAATGTCTTATATTTTGACGTTAAATATGGTTATGATAACGTGACATATCCCTCCATTTCCCCTTACCGTTAAATGTCACAATAAATAAATTCATGTTAAATAAACAACTGGTAAAATGTCATGTTAACGTTATGTAAGTGATTTTGGGGCTGGCTATCTATCAAGTTAGGTAATGACTTGCTGTGATGAACAAAATAATTGGTTGACACTGAAATCATCTTAGTCGGTATTATAAATTGAGCTAATTTGTGATAAAACAGATTACTATTGTAATTTAATACCACAACCAAACTTAATTTATCATGAATATACATTTTGCGACATTTAACGTTAGTGTTGCGACATTTACCGACAGCGACATTTAACGTTACCAATTAACGGCAGAAGATTTTGCAACATTTAGCGGCGGTTGCGACATTTAGCGGCAATTGTGCGACACATAGCGGTATTGCGACATATAACGGCGCCGCAATGACAAAGTCAAAGAAAATTGCGTGTACCATTTGTTCAAGATTTTTAAGGTTAGAAAAACGTATCAACTGGCAAGACCAGTTAATATTTTAAGAGATCGTCATTGGTTTTTTAAAATTTAACAAAAGGCAGCGCGCCTCGAAATTGATGACTTATTTATAAAACCCGTAACAGTGTTTTCGAAAATTGAGGGGTTAAAAAACAACTAAAATATTAATTGTTCATTTATTCTAGCTTAAGGCCCTGGCAGTCATTTTACGTTACCTTAATAGAGTCAAAATATGCAAAAAGCACTATCTGTTCTTACTTTGCACTCGATTTTAAAAAACTTAATCGTATAGGACGTAAAGCGTTACAAACATGAAAAATAACATAGTTTCAGCTTCATTTCTTGAAACTACCGTCACTTATCTGAAAGTTCGCAGCTAAAAAGTCCAAATCTTACTTCCACTCTTAAAGAAAAACATTATAATAAAACTGCAACAAACATGAAGTTGATCGGGCCTGAGGGAAAGCCTCCTCCGGGCGAGCCTCCTCCGGTCGAACCTCCTGCGGAGTTGAGGGCATTGACAATAGCCTTCATGAGTGGGTATTTACCCTGTCCGCACATTCCGCTGAAATCATCCAGGTCTAGCGCCCATACCATAATACCGCCGAAGTTTTGTTGTTTTATGTAATCCACCTAGTATGTACAAATCTTACTTTACAAACATGAATTAGTCGCTTACGCGTCAAGTAAAAGATGTTGATGAAATATTAAAAACAAACAAAAACAATAAATTTCTATAAATATATACAAATGTATGTTACTTAATATTATACCTCACGTAAACTTTTTACTATATAACCCAATGTGACGTCACATGGAAATGAATATCACCCGAGGGGTGAGTAATCTATATAGACGTAAGAAAAACGTACGTTCTAGTTCTCTCCCCTAGCCGCTCTGTTCGCATTCAGTATAAAAATAAACAATAGCACATGTCTCTCAAGGTAAAAGTGCAATCACCAGCCCTTGAACTGAAATAACACCCTAGTACATTTGTATGACGTACTGTATCGTAACAAAGTTGTTCTCAACAACTTTATAGACAAACTACGTACCTTAATTTTCAAGCTATCGGGATCGTCGTAACCAACCCAGAGCTCGTTTTGCACCAAGTACGGTACCTTTTGTTCCGCCTCGTATCTTTTAGTTGCTCCAGCGGCAAGTTTTAAACAAATCTACGATAACAAACAGTTAATATAAATAAAAAAATATGTAAAATAGCGCATCTGATTAATAATCCACGAGACATTTGATCACGCGCTGATTTTAGGTTTTGTTTGTTTGTTTGTTTGTTTGTTTGTTTGTTTGTTTACGTGATATTTCCGGTAGAGGCAATTTAATAAAACGTCATAACTTTATTTATTTATTTATTTATTTATTTATTTTTGTGAATACAGTGTCAAGAAAATATGAAAAAACACTTTCATACCCAGTTGAAACATGTATAGATTTTTTTTTCAATTAAACATTGTAAAGTAAAAATCAACACCAAAAATCTCCTCTCTATCTGGGGCTTTTATACATCACGATTGTTTAAAAACGGCAAACTTCTCACTTTCCCCTATTAAATTTTTAAATTCCTTCCTTATGCAAGCCGGGTCAATCCCTTTGAAAAACTCTGGCAAGCTTTTATAAACATAAAAATAAAAACCACGAACAGTTTTCCCCCAAAA